GACTGTCACTTAGGACAGCCACTGGTAAGCACTGCTTCCATTTTTGTCTGGGGGGTTTCATATTAGTATATGTTAATTATAAAATATAATGACCCCACTATAACATTTTTATTTATGCATATGATATACTTTAATAACACTGTATTAAAGTTAATGATTTCATTGCCAAAGAGAAAATTAACATTTAGAATAATGACCATCCAAAGACATGAAGAGTTCAAAAGTACAGAACTGGCCACAGAGAGATGAGAGAGAGAGAGAGAGAGAGAGAGAGAGAGAGAGAGAGAGAGAGAGAGAGAACATGCCATATTCATATTTTGGGGTCTGGGTTACCTCACTCAGAATAGTGTTTTCTAATTCTATCAATTTGCATGCAAAATTCAAGACGTCATTGTTTTTTACCACAGAGTAGTACTCTAATGAGTAAATGTGCCACATTTTCTTTGTCCATTCTTTGGTTGTGGGGCATCTAGGTTGTTTCCAGGTTCTGGCTACTACAAATAATGCTGCTATGAACATAGTTGAACAAATGCTTTTGTAGTATGATTGAGCATCTTTTGGGGCATGATGGGTTCACCCACTGAAACAGTCTACCTGAGCTAATGGGAGCTCACCAACTCCAGCCAGACTGGGAAGGAACAAGCATAGGACACAACTAGTACCTCTGAATGTGGTTGACAGTTGCATGGCTGGGGCAGACTGAGGGGCCACTGGCAGTAGCACCAGGATTTATCCCTACTGCCTGCACTGGCTTTTTGGGATCCTATTCTCTTTGGATGTGTACCTTGCTCAGCCTAGATATAGTAGGGAGGGCCTTGTACCTTCCACAAATAAATATGCCTTACCCTCTCTGGGGATTAAATGGGGGTGGGGTGGGAAGGTGTGTGGAGGGAATGGGAAGAGGGGGAGGGAATGGGACCTAGAATTGGTATTTTTTAAAAATCTAATACACCCCCCAAAAAGAAAGGGTTCTTTTATTTAAAAGTAAATGTAAAACCATATATGAAGAAATCTCCAGCTCAATAAAAAGGTATAAACATTGAAAAATTTTTCATATTAAAGATGTGGTTTTTCACGTTCTATTTCCACTGCTGCAGAGACCAATTTGTAGGAAAATCTCCTCTCAGAGTGTATGGCCTTCTTTAATTCAAGGCACTCTCCTGTGTTTTCTTATTATGACTAATCCTGAGGTCAACCATTCAAAACTGAATAAATATTTCCATTCTTAAGCTGAGGAAATGGAGTGCTTGAGAACTGGCTTTTAAGTGGCAGAACTGGCCTTAGAATCATGTTTATCTATTCCCAAGTCATGGCTCTTTCTAATGTGAAGATCTTATTATGATTTAAAAACCGCTTTGATATGCATGGGTTACTTTAGTCTGCCCCATGGCCCTAGCAAGTCTGCCCCTTCATGTTCTCTGGTTCCAAATTTGTTTAAAAGAACACTCTATTTCCCTCTGTTTTGATACTTCAGTCTTGAACCCTGCTCCTCTGTGTCACCAAACTCACGCATGTGGGTTGCCAAGCATGCTCTCACCTAGCCCAAGCGTTTGCAATTGCCAACCTCCCCCCACTCACTCTGATGACTGTCAACAAATTGCTGTCAGATTTGACGGGTTGATCTGCAGGCACATACTCCTCAGCCCTAGCCTCGGTGCCCTCATCTGTAAAGTCTTGGCAGTGAATTGTCAGGAGGCTTGAATGAGAACTTACAAAATGTTTACCACATAATACAAACTCTAGAATGACTAGTATTTACTTATAAGTTTTGAAGTAGGGTCTCACTATATGGCTCAATTTGACCTCAAACTTCTGGTCCTCTACCTCAGTCTCCCAAGTGTTAGCATTACAGGTGTTTTCCACCACACCCAGCCTATAATGTATTTTTTACAGTTTAAAGTAGTTCTGAAATTGAGTGACTACACTATGATTTCCTCAGATGCCAATATCTTAGGCATAGGATAAACTATTAAGAAAGGGGCTAAGAACAGGGAAGTTGGTGTAGACTATGAGTAGTAGTGAAAATTACCCTGCCGGAGAAGGTACTGATTTTGGATCTGTGACCAAATTTATCTAAATCTATCTGTGAACAAAATTACCTAAAGCAAGAGTTTGAACTAGGTAAATAACCAGGTGACTTGAAGCTAGTGACCATATTCATGGCCACAGAGCTTTATGTATATCACAGCAGGAGAAAGTAATCTATCTTCTGGGCAACGTCCTACCTCCAACAGCTGATGGTATTGATGTGTGATGGGGACAAGGAGGGAAGGAGGAAGACAGGAAAGAGATATCTCCTAATCATTCCTTTCCTAAACAATGCTATAAGAACTGGTGTTATTGCTATTTTAGAAACAAGTCTACTCGAAGAATGAGTTGAAATAAAATTCAAACCAATCCGTACTATCCTTGTTCTTTGTGATAAAAAGCCAACTTCTGTATTAGCAAAAACATAAGCACATATAATAAACACAGTCCACACAGCTGTGCAGGTGATTACATGTAGGCAAACCCTCCTCACAGTGCCGACTTAAGTTGCAGAATGTCAGGAATACATATGCTGTTATATTATAGAGGTGCAGTGGGGAATAGCAAAGGCCCGAAGCTCACCAAGGACTATCAAATGGTAGTAAATCCTCTGCCAGGTAATTGCCTTTGAGCCTAAAGGGACAGTTAGATAAACAATACCATGCAAGTATCATTTTCAACAGATAAAGAAGATTCTAAAATTTCATAATGTCTAAATTTGTTGCTGCTGTTTGGGAAGCAAAGAAACTTTTTATGAAGGATAATTAACTGCTTCAAGAATGCTAGGTAGAATTCTCAGTGGGGTAGACTGTAGACTTTCCATGGCAAGGCAGACTTGCTTTTCCACCATAAAATGAATTGGTGAGTAAGCATGTAACCCATGCACCAGCCTCCTGCAACAGTATTTCCAGATCCAAATTCACCGCAATCCACTGCAAGGTGTCACTTTTCAAGTCTATATTGTGGTGCAGTCCCCACATGGTTTGTTTGTTCATTTACCAGTGGACTGTCCCTTCCCTCCTCCAACCTGTCACCTCATTTTCTCCACTGCTTCTCCCCTCTTGGCATTACACATTGCCCTCTCCCCTCTTTCACATGAAGCAAATACTGACCTTCTAAATTGAAGATGTCCAGCCCATGCAAGGCTATTTTCTTCTTACATTAAGGTCAGCTTGTCTCCAAAGCTACAGAGAAACCCTGTCTTGAAAAACAAAAACAAAACAAAAAAAGGTTAGCTTGTGATATGAGCTCTCTCTCTTTGTCCTTCTCATTTCCTACTCATTTAAACATACATTGATCATCTTTGCCTTTCTTTCCCCCTTTCCTCTCCCACAAACACACTCTACTAAGTGTTTTTACTAGCTTAGATGGTCTCTTAGTTTCTGTAGCATATGGATGTCTGTGTCAGTGTCTACCTTAATGTACCTGTGGCCATTGACACTCTTTAATATCTCCTTATAACTTTCTAGAACTTTTTGGAGTTACTGCCCTGGCTATCCCCCATCTGGCCATTTTTCTTCATACACTTTATCACAGGTTCCTCCTGTGGTCACACAGAATGAACTCTTTGCTACTATCTTAGTTAAGGTTTCCATTGTTGTGATGAAAACACCATGAGGCTAGGAAAATGTTTATTTGGCTTTCATATCCTGAATCTCTGTTCACGGAGGAAGCTAAGGCAGAAACTCAAATGTAACAGGAACCTGGAGGCAGGAGCTGGTGCAGAGCCATGGAGGTTTGCTGCTTACTGGTTTGCTCAGCCTGCTTTCTTATGGAACCCAAGGCCACCAGCCCAACTGTGGCCCTCCCACACCAATCAGTAAGTAACAGAATGTCCTATATGCTTGCCTACAGACCAATCTTACGGATGCATTTCTCAATTGAGGTTCCCTCCTATCAGATGCCTACAGCCTGCACACATACTCTCTAGGGAGTGATCTTAATCCCTCTCAGGCTTTGTCTTCTAGCTTTAAACTGCCTCCCCCTGTCTGTAGATATCTTTAGTTTACACTTCTGAGGGTTTCTGGCTCTTTCTTGGTTTGCTCTTGTACACCTTAAACTCATTCTGTCCAGAATCTCCATGTTCTGTAAATGTCTTCTTCCCATATTGTCTCTTCTCAACCAAAAACTTCCCAGTCTACTCATGGTCCTAAACACTGAAAACAGAGTAATACAAGGACTAAAAAGTACTGTACTTGAAGCAGACTGCCAGAGTTTGGGTCTCAGCTGTCCTATTTGTTAGATGTAGTTGCTATCATGGGCTACATTTGCATCTATCCGGGCCACAGGTTCCTCAAATAGAAAATGGAAACACTAATAATACCAATATTACAGTGATGTTATGGAGAGTAAATAAAATAACTTTTATGAAGCACTACACTCTATATGTATGTATTTACCTTTTCTTCCATTTTAATATTAAACACATAGACCATAACATTCCCTATAGTTGAAAAATTCAGCATTCACCAATATCCTTAATACCCAAGATCCTCCCTTTATCTATCATGACCCACCATGAGCAATCTTGGGCCTACCCCAGTGATCCAGACTTTATGTGTGTGTGTTATCTCAGATGTTCTTCCTTCTACCTTGAAAACCTCTATCCTCCAGGACTCAGCACTTTATGTCAAAAACTCCACTCATTCTTCAAACTTGAGTTTGAATGTCATTTCCCAGGGTGCAGCGGTTGGATTAATAATCACCAAAGATAATAGGTATTTGAACAAGTTTAATAACAAAACCAGACTCAGGAAACCAAGGTTCCAGCGGAGTAGCCGGCAGAGACAGGAGCACGCACAGCATCTGCGCGCCCTATTTATCAGTAAACATATGCCCGAGGGCAGCCCGCCCCCAAGGGGAGGGCTTATCCCTACACCAGGGAGTCTGACCTGTGGACTTCTTCAGGGCCCAACTACAAAATCACCACACTACCCAGTTAATTGTTCTCTAATGCTTGGGCATTATTCCAGATGCAGCTATATGATAGACAATGTAATTCTGCTCATGAATGGAGCATTGCAAAAGAAGTCTGTGAAAGAAGTTCTAGCCAAGTGTCACCCACTGGGCCGTTTCACGGAGATGGAAGCCGTCAACATTGCAGAGACCACCTCAGATCTCTTCAAGGCTGTGCTGGTTGAAACACCATTAGGTATGAAAACTTATTTTTTGTTTTTCTTTTCTTCTTCTTCTTCTTCTTCTTCTTCTTCTTCTTCTTCTTCTTCTTCTTCTTCTTCTTCTTCTTCTTCTGTTTTTCGAGACAGGGTTTCTCTGTAGCTTTGGTGCCTGTCCTGGAACTAGCTCTGTAGACCAGGCTGGCCTCGAACTCACAGGGATCCGCCTGCCTCTGCCTCCCGAGTGCTGGGATTAAAGGCGTGCGCCACCACCACTGGCTTGTTTTTCTTTTGTATTTTAATTTTCTTATTCATTTTACACACCAGTCACAATTGCCCTTCCTGTCCCTCCTCCTGTTCCTCAACCCTGCCTTTCCCCACTGACTCCTGTAAAAGGGTAAGGCCTTTCATGAGGAGGCTACAAAGCCTGGTTACATTCAGTTGTGGGTTCCTGGGAGTTTCCATTGTACCAGGTTCTCCTTAGCCACATAATAGCTCTCTCTATCAAGATATCTCTTTCATTGTTTTCCCCCTCTGTCCCCTCCCCAGCACGACCATCCCATTCCCCCATGTTCTCATGCCCTGTTTCCTCCTCTTTACTGTCCCACCCCCTGCCTCCAGTTTACCCAGGGGATCTCATCTATTTCTCCTTCCCAGGGTAATCCATACATCCCTCTTAGGAGCCTCCTTGTTACCTAGTTTCTCTAGTACTGTGGGTTGTGGTCTGGTTATCCTTTGCTTTACATTTAGCATGGATACTTATTTGTAAAATGGCCTGTGCATGTTAGCATAGTCATTAGAAAATGTACCTTCAATATGAAACATTTTTATGAAAGTAGTTTTATACTATACAGGTTCATAGTTGCTGACAGGACGTCTGAGCTGGGCATGGTGGCACATACATGGTGACTAAAGAAAGAGGTTGGCAAACCTGAGGTCAGTTTGGTTACACAGAGAGACTCTACTTCATAAAAACAAACAATATCAAAAGAATCATCTAGGCCTAGGGAGATGGCTCAGTTGGTAAAGCAATTTTCTTTCAGGCGTAAGGACTTAAGTTTGTGCCACAGAATCTTGTAAGGAAAAAAAAAACTAAGTATTGTCGCACATTTGTCTAATCCCAGCACTAGATAGGACTTGCTGGACCTCTAGCCAAACCTATTTGGCAAGCTCCAGGCCAGAGACAGAGATCCTATTTCAAGACACGAGGTGGGTGCCTCTTAAGGAATGATACCTAAGATGTCCTCTGTCTTCTACTTGTACACACACACACACACACACACACACATACACACACACACGCTCCCACACACTTACACATGTGTGTGGGCATCCATGTACATAGGAATATGTATACAAATGTACACATACACAGAAAAATCATCTAACCTTGCTTTCTTGTCTCTCAGATGAAGACATGTGAAGCAATCTGGTCTCAGTCATTTATAAGCCATTCAAATTAAGGAAGGGACTGGAGCTCATATCCCAACCACCAAATCCATATGCTTTCTACCAGGATATAGCAATTATGTGATAAACTTGTACATGCTCAAGCTATGTGTTCCCTTTCTGTTTTCCTCATCCTTTCATATTAAACTCTTATTTAATTCAGGTCATATCTAGGGAATATTTTGTTTAAAGAAGTTTAAAAATGTCTTTGCTATGAGCTAGTTGAGAGCCTCTATTAACTTACCTAGATCAATTATGAAATGACTTAATTTCAGTATAACTTACCATTGATAAAAATGTCATTGTTCTTTGAGGCCAGCCTGGTCTACAAGAGCTAGTTCCAGGACAGGAACCAAAAACTACAGAGAAACCCTGTCTTGAAAAATCAAAAAAAAAGTCATTGTTCAAAATGTTAATGAGAAAATTTTCAAGCATTATTACCGTCAGAATTCTAGATGGTAGCAATTCATTATTGACCATAAGCAAAATGGCTTTCATTTTAAATTGGGGACCAGGAGCTGGAGAGATGCTTCAGTGGTTAAGAGCACTAGCAGCTGCTTTGGAGGACCTGGGTTCAATCCCTAGAACCCATGTGGTGTGTTCCAGAGAACACAGCAACCTCTTCTAGTCTCTGAAGGTACTGAGAATACTTGTGGTGCAGACATACATCAAGTAAAACACTCATGCATATAAAATAATAATTAAAATAAAGTAATTTGGGGAGCAGGGTTAAGCATAGGGTATTTTGCATGCTAAGAATATGCTCTACCCATGAGCCCACACTCTGAGCCAAAATAGTTACCCTTCAAACAGATATTCAAAAAAAAAAAAAGGCAAGGGTGTGCTAGGTCACGTTTAAGTATCTGTGGCTTAGCTAGTGCAGCCTGGTGGAAACAAGGTGAGTCTGGGATGAGTGAGCTGTGAATCTGAAGCCAGACTTTGCAAGGTCTCAGTATAATGACTTGGGCAATTTAATTTATCTCCATTTTCCTCATTTCAAATCCTAACAGTTTTGAAAATGAATTTAAACATAATTTTAGTAAAACAATGTGCCTGGTATAAATTTGGTTGCAGGTGGTAAATATTACTATAAGGTTGTGTTAGGATATAAGGAAGGAATTGCAAAAAGGAAGCATGTCCTTTTTTTTTTTTTTTGCATTGTTTTGTTTTTTGTTTTTCGAGACAGGATTTCTCTGTGGTTTTGGAGCCTGTCCTGGAACTAGCTCTTGTAGACCAGGCTGGTCTCGAACTCACAGAGATCCGCCTGCCTCTGCCTCACGAGTGCTGGGATTAAAGGCGTGCGCCACCACCGCCCGGCCTAGGAAGCAAGTCTTAAATGACTGTTTTCAAGGTTGTGAAAATTAAATAAGTTAATGTGTATCCATTGTTTGGTAAAACATGTAGTACCTAAGGTTCACACATGGTAAATACTTAATGAATATCAAGTTCTATCATCCTTATCAATATTTGCCTTACCCAGTGTGGACTGCTACTCCACAGAGTTCTCATTAGCAGTGAGCACACGTGGTGGCGCTATACTTATTTCCTACACTTTGTAGTCTGGCTTGAGACTCATATTCTTTTGCTTTCAGCTCCATTCTTCCAAGATTGCATGTCTGAAAATACTCTCGATGAATTGAATATTGAATTACTGCGCAATAAACTATACAAGGTAATTGTTCTTCCAGATGTATTTTTCTTGATTACACAATATAACATATTGGAGTTCTTTATTATCAAAGTTACTTTACCCATTGATCAGCTTCTGCAATTATGAAGTGATGCAAATTTGGAACATAGTTTTTATTGTTTGGGCTCATGCATGCATGTCAGTTTATTCTATCCTTTGCTCTATGTACAGTGCCTGAAATGCAAAATGTGTTGGTTAGATCATGGTAGATAGGCAGATAAATTTGTGGGAAAACCATATCATAGGCAAGCAGCATAGACAATAGGCATTCTCTTTTATAGTATCCATCTTTGCTGTAGATCTTGTTATAAAACTTTGAATCTTAAAATTAATCTGTCCCTGAACATAGCGGACAATGAGGACTACTGAGACCCCAAGAACAATGGCAATGGGTTTTTGATCCTACTGCACCTATTGGTTTTGTGGGAGCCTAGGCAGTTTGGATGCTCACCTTACTAGACCTGGATGGAGGTGGGTGATCCTTGGACTTCCCACAGGGCAGGGAACCCTGATTGCTCTTTGGGCTGATGAGGGAGGGGGACTTGATTGGGGGAGGGGGAGGGAAAGGGGAGGCGGCGGTGGGGAAGAGACAGAAATCTTTAATTAATTAATAAAGAAATAAATAAATTAAAAAATTAATCTGTCCATGTAATTTTAAACCTATGCCAGCATTACCAACTTGTTGACACAATGTCATATGTGCCACTGCATGATTGCCAGAATGTCTGAATTCTGTTGCCACCATTAGCATAGACTGTGTACTATAGGGCAAGAAAAGTCTTCCAGTGGACACTCTCATAAAGTATATTAATATATACCACTGTGGTATATAAATAGTGTGTTAAGCTAAAATACATAGTCCTTTCAAAGGTATTTCATTATAGGCATTTTTGTTTTATAAAGACACACTTGAAAGGAGGCACTCCTAAGATGTAACTAAGAGAACATTGTGTTCTAAGCCGTTCATGGGCCTTAACTCGCTCAGCCTAGTAGCAAAGCTGTGATTTGTGCAATTCTTGTTCCTCTTATAAACATGAGAGATGAAGAGACACGAGGTTTCCTTGGTAGAAGGAACTTAGTATTGAGTTAGTTAAGTATTAGACCTGGAATACAAGCCCAGGCAGTCTAACCTGACAACCTAGGCTCTGCTTTTCAATATATTCACCAATATATTGTCAAAACCAATGTGTCTTATGAAATTTAATATCAGAGTTACTAAATCATTTGCAGAGTTCAGCAAAGTGCTTGGCACTCTTGTTAGGATAGCTGGAGTGAAGTACATAAATGCCTGTTAGGTAATTATACACTGTAATAAGTACAATTTTGTTCTTTTACTGAGTTCTTTTTAGTCTGGGTCACAGGTATACTAAATCTCTATTAAATTTACTATGGAATATCTCCTATGTTAGGAACAATTAAATTTCCATTAGAGCATTTCATATGCTATGAAAAGATGACCCAGACATTTCTACAAGGAAATTATTCATTTTATGGTTTATAATCTTCTTTCTTTCTAAGTCTTACCTTGAGGCATTCTACAAATTCTGCAAAGATCACGGTGATGTCACAGCAGAAATTATGTGCCCCATTCTTGAGGTAAGAAGGACCCTTTGGCTCTGTTTTTGCCAAATGAGTTTGCATACTTGTCCTTACTTTAACCCTGTTGTATTTCTTTATTTCAGAAGTTATCTGAAAATTCAATAAGCAACATCATTTGATGTCTTAAGGGAGTGTTTTCTTGAAAGCCAGCCTTGTGCTCAGTGGTTGAACACTTACCTAAAATATATAGGACTTTGGATTCATTTATGCCAATGCAAAACTCAATCAGACAAAATTACTTTAAATGTGTGGTTATGATTCCAGTTGATGTATATGTAGAAAGTAGGTTATAATTCATTAAACATTTTATATTACTAACAACTGGTAGGTTATGAATATTTTCATAATATCCACTCAAACTCTCTCCAATGAAGGAACATTGAACAGCAGGAATATCCTGTAGGTTGAGCCCACAGTCCATTATAGCTCTATTCATGACATGATCCTTATAAAAGCCTAAAACTAATGCTACCTAAGCAGTTCTCCACCATTCCAGCTTTGAGCAGAAAGAATATAGTTCAAATACACCAAAACCAGGAATTTGATTATGTCTGGGATGCTACATCACTGTCTTCTGTGGAACTAATGTCAAGACTCTTTTTTAAATTTTCTCTTTATCAACACAGAACACACCCATGCTCAGAGGTCCTCTTGACAGAAGCTTGACTCATAGGTGCATGGGACATTGGGGTGGACATCAAGAGAGGCTGGAGTTCACCCCAGGGCACAGATTCCACTTAGTGTTTAACATGCATCCCTCAGTGACTTTCCAAGACTCTTGAAAAATAAAAGGAATGCTGTGTCAAACTGTGCTTAGGAGTGATCAAAACAATATATTTAAACATTTTAAATTAGAGTGGAGTTCACTACAAGGGTACACATCATACCAAGAGCTTTCAGACAAAAGGAACAAAGAACATTAAAGCATAAAATGAATTCATAAAAAGACTTATCAAGTAGGATGGATACAGAAGCACTTGTTATGATAAAGAGAGCTTTTGATGGGAATGCCCCTTCCCCTTCAGTGCAGGGAGTGTTCTAGTATGCAGACCTATGGAATGGAACTTGTGCTTACAAGCTAAGGAATAAACTATAAGAAATAAACTTTGTTATTACAAAGGCAAGGCATGGGAAATGAATGGATTATTTGGATAATCCATTATAGTCAGTTAGAGTCATTTGTTCTTAGCCTGGCATGTGTCAGGTAGTGTCTCCCCATCTACCTGCCTATCCAATTTTACAGTAGCTTCCTTAGGTGTTTAAGGTGTAACCATCCTCCAAATACATCATGTGTTTTCTACTGCAACAATCTCCTCTGGCATGGCCTCTGCTGACTTGATGTCTGCAATGCTGCCTACCCTGTCATATTTCCCTTCTTAAAATTCTAACATCTTGCAACTAGAAAATACCAAAGAATATCTGGGACAACTACCTACATGTTACTTATCCTACCCCATCTTTCATTTCAAGAATTCTTATTGCCACGAACAATCCACTTGCAGTTCTTCTCTTACCCCTGGAAGTTCTAAAATGCTTTACAAAATTGGCTATATGCAGGAGCCAGAATGTAATTGCCTTTGTTTCCAAATAAAGCTCCCCTGCTTCTGACCCACCCATAAGTCCCATGAGAGCAATCAAAAGGACCAGTGGAAATGCGCTCTCTCCTGATAAGAAACACCTGTTCTAACAAAAGTGTTCCAGTAGAGCTGTTGCAAGCCCGGCTTTGTTATTAGCTAGTAAGTGTGGAAAGTGATGAAGGACAGCTCCAGGTCCTTTTTTTCAACTTTCTTGGGCTGGTGAACAGCCTTGGAGTCTTCTTAAAAGGCAGAAGGTTTAACTACAGACTGTGGTTTGAGAGTCTGCATTTTTTAACTTTCACTGATGTCAAAGCTACTGAGTCACAACTTCAAGTGGCATCACTGTAGGAAATACTGTAGGAAATTCAAAAGTGATTAAATCAGTCAGGCTGTTCTGTTAGATTCAGTAGAGAGTTAGAATACTCTGTGTGATGAGCATTGACTCCAAAAATGAACAGCAAATAAAAAAGACAGGGCTCTTCAAAGAATGAAGAGTAGGAAGAGGAAAAGTACAGAGATAGATGTTAGAATGACATAGTAAGAATTAAGTACTTCAAGGACCTGGGGAAGAATTCCTGAGCCCACCAATATTTAAGATAAGGAGAGGAGGGCCACTTGAGGGAGAGAAACAAAGCCTAAGAGAAAAGATGTAAGAACTAGTAGATGGGGAGGAGTGTGGTGAAATGCTTTCCTCTGGACATGACATAGCTGGTACATACACTACTCACAGCAGCTGTGGTTACCTATGGTAACCTGCATGGGACCATCTCAGCTTCCAATCCCAGGGTGGAGTAGAGAAGAGTACCTGAGGCCCAACCCCTGCTGAAGAACTATTGGTGGCTTATGTGGCTGCTGGAGAAGAGAGAATTACTTTTCTATAGAGATGTGGTGTGGTAGGAATGGGTGAATCTGGTGAATGACCTCATACCCATTCATATATGGGAAGCACAAACTCAATGGGTTAAAGGTAAATATATGTTTATATATTTATATACATATGTAAGGAATATATACAGATATATATTTCAGGATAAAAGAGAATAGAGGATGATGGAATATTTAATGTGGACATAAGGAAAACTGAGAGATACAGAAACATGGAGAACAAAGAAATAGGAACAAAATCTCAAGAAAGATAGCATGATTATTGGAAACAGGATTGATGGAGTAGGAGCTCAGCAGTCTATGGTGTTCAGCACTGGTCATCACTACACACTGACCTACTTAAGGATCATGAAAAATAAGACCTTACAAGGAAGATAAATCACCCCAAGCCACATGATTCTTAGTTACAGAGATTCTTAGAATCAGAGGTCGGTCATTTAATGGTAGGTCATTCACACACACACACACACACACACACACACACAACCTAAACCATGAAATAAAGATGGTTTGTAGTATGACATTTAATTCTATAAAATAAATAGGATTAGGGATGTGGCTCAATGGTAGAGTTGGTGTGATATGCATGAGGCCCTGGATCGGATGAAAGGGCCCTGCCAAGTTATGCCAGCCACTAAGAGAACAAACACACCACATACAGCAGAGGTTTATTGGGAGACAGGGATGAGGATAGCGGAGTGTGGACACGAGAAAGGAGAGCAGATAGACAGAGAAGCAAGAGAGCAAAAACAGAACTGTGACAGAGGGACACTTTTTTAAGGGGTACATGGGTCGCATAACTAAGGCAGCCTGGCCATCTTGGCAGAAACTAACATTGGTTCCTCAGCATCGCAAACAATAACACCAACAATAGTGACAGGAACAGTTAAAAGGGGTTAGTAACATGTAGTGTTGCACATTTTTGTTGTTCAAACGCCTTGGCAGACATGTTTACTCGCATTGCCTTATTCTGTCCCTGTGTGCACTTTAATGGTATTCTTACCACCTTTACGGAAAACACATTCATTACTCTTGTGACCTACGTTGAGGATAACATGTAAGTAACTTGTTGCAGGGAGCCTGGGAAATTAAGCTTGGCGGGGTTTCAAGAGTCATAGGCCATCACAGGGCTGGGCAATCTCTCCAAGCAAATTACACCTTTTCAAGGGGAGCCAAAGGGACATAAGTAAGACATGCCTACATAGTAAGTAAACATGGAAAGCAGATCACCTCAGAGATGCAATTCTGTATGTGGCATGTGGTGTAAAAGATTATTGGATTTGCTGTTTTCATGCCTTTCACTTTCAGTTTGAGGCTGACAGACGTGCTTTAATCATTACTCTGAACTCATTCGGCACTGAGTTGAGCAAAGAAGACAGGGAGACCCTCTTCCCCACCTGTGGCAAGCTCTATCCTGAGGGACTGCACTTGTTAGCTCAAGCTGAAGACTTTGAGCAGATGAAGAGAGTAGCAGATAATTATGGAGTAAGTGATTTCCCCAGCACCCTGAGTGCCTTGCATTACTTCAGCATGGGCCCTTTGGAAGCTCACACATCCATTTAAACACCTCATCCAAACTGATATCCAGATGACAGCAAGCAGTGCCTCTTTCTGTAATTATGCCTCCCAGAGAAACACTTCAAGTTTCTAGGCCAAGCTGGCTGGCATCTTTTAAGATCCTGCCAAGAAAGCCCTTGTTTAAATCTCCCAGGAGTGGTTATCTACTGAGTACGTCTTGAAATACCTTATAAAGCAACTTCCCCAAGAGGCTGGGACAAGTTCCTGGAAGTGAGAGTTCATGTCAAAGTTACATCAAACAGCCTGACCTCAATCGTTCTTTGAAATACCCACTGGAAGAAAAATATAAAATCTCCTGAGTCAACTGGGAGCATGGGGATCATGGAAGAGGGTAGAAGGGGAGTGGGGAGAAAAGAAGGGTAGTGGAGAAAAATAGTTCAATAAAAAAATTTTAAAAAATATATTCACTGAGAAAGCAGAGTCAGTACAGAACATCTATAGGGACTACAAGAGAACATGGGATATGTATGGGTTTCCCCCAACCCCTTTGCTGAGAGGCAGAAACTGGGAGAGGAAGGGAACTGCTCACTGGCTTTCCCTCCTTCTGCCCTCAGCACTCTAAGACAGGCTGGAGTTCTCATACATGGTTATTCTTCTTCCCCAGATTCACTTCCTCAATTTTGTGGGTAGTCACATGTATATCCCTCAGTTCACTTCCTCAGTTTAAGAGTGACCCTGGTGTTTCCTTGTAGATTTCCAAATCCTTCCAGTAAAACAGCCAGCAAACAGTATCTATAAACCTTTTTAATCTTTCATCTATGATTGTGGGCAACACTTTAGTATAATGTTAAAATTTGAGCTTCTCCCCAGTTTTTACTCTTTCTGCACTTGAAATTCCATGAGATATATTGGGTGTCATCTCAAGGACTCACAAACCTATACTAGTCAAACTGCAAGGGTTCACTAAGCCTAGTGTTTTTATGTGTGAAAATGACAATGTACATTAGGAAAAATATGGCGTTTCCCTTGTACTTGTAGCCCATTCAGATTACAAGTGAGAAAGTAAAAAATTTGTTCACCTCTTTGTTTGTTTGGATTTGTTTGGAGAATGGGGGTGTCAGGAAGTGAAAGGGCATTCAGGTCTTCTGTTCAAATTTTCTTTAAAGGACACACACTCACACACACCAGTATCTATATTTCTAAGTAAATGCATTTATATGAATTTATAAGAAATGAAATATCCTTTACATTTAAATTCTTGTCTTTGTTTTTAAGGTTTACAAGCCTTTGTTTGAGGCTGTAGGTGGCCCTGGGGGAAAGACATTGGAAGATGTTTTCTATGAGCGAGAGGTATGGCAGAAGTGGAAATATTATGGTTTATATGCTTTTGTTGTTATCATGGGTTTTAAATGTTCTTTCGCTGATGGTCCATGTCACCTTTTCTTTCCTTAGGTGGAAATGAATGTTCTGGCATTCAACAGGCAATTCCACTATGGTGTGTTCTATGCATATGTAAAGTTGAAGGAGCAAGAGATGAGAAATATCGTGTGGATAGCAGAATGCATCTCACAGAGACATCGAACTAAAATCAATAGTTACATTCCAATTTTATAAACCAGTAACAAGACCTCAAATGCAGAAAATTATACATGTTGAAAAGAAGCTATGGAGGAAGGAAAAGTGATTGTGTCTTAGGTTACCTAGATCATACAAAAGTAAGTCATATCTCCTTTCCATGAATTGTATGTTCCCTGGGAGCCCAATAAACTGAACATGAAACCAAGTAGTACCTTCTTATTTTCAGCAAATCTTAATCATTTTTTCATGTTTATATCTCATTGCTCACTGGTCCTACACATTCATTTTAATTGACTTGATAGCATTTTTCATACTCTCATTTAGTTATGTTAGAATCATGTCTAAACAAGTATTTCACTCTTCCTTTTCTATTCTTTTCCCCAAGCTCAAACACTGAGTGTCTGATCTACTGGTTAGCTGTTCACTTTTTCCATCAATTCACAAAAATGCAAGGCTGTGTGTAGCCATCATACACTACGTTTGGTGAAGGCACTAGGATTGATAAGCCTGGGAAAGACAGATTTCCAAGATGTTAGTGTTGCTAAATATGTTAATAAATTAGATTCTCTCTCTCCCTCTCCCCCCCACATACACACACATTATATACATATATGCAGAAGAGAGATAGAGACAGATCGATGAACAAAATATATACATATCTATGCCTGAGGTTCTGTCACACTTTATTTAAGAAGAAAATTCCACTAATTATATTTTGTTCCTTCAGAAGAAAAAAGTCACAGATTTAGTATGATTGCCTCATAAAGCCTGAGACCAGTGGAGAGAGCTGCTAAAAAAAAAAAAACCAAAGTATGTCCCCAATCTTGCTTTAAATAGAAAAAGTGTTCTTAGATATAGTCTGTATTTACTGTGCTTCAAGAATTAAACATGTGGGGGCTGGAGAGATGGCTCAGTGATTAAGAGCATTGCCTGCTCTTTCAAAGGTCCTGAGTTCAATTCCCAGCAACCACATGGTGGCTCACAACCATCTATAATGAGGTCTGGTGCCCTCTTCTGGCCTGCAGACATACACACAGACAGAATATTGTATGCATAATAAATAAATAAATATATAAAAAAGAATTAAACATGTGCAGTTAACAAGATGACTCAGCAGGTAAGGGAACTTGCTGTCAGTCCTAACTACCTGAGTTCAATCCCTAGGAGTTCACATAATAGAAGGAACTTAGTACTGCAAGATTACCTTTAACCCTTACATATGCAATACACACATACACACAAAAAAATTTTAAATAAAATTTAAAGAAATTTACAGAGATAATTTGAACATTCTTTGTATAAGCATACCTAACAAAGTATATAAATACACTATCTAGAATGAAATGCATTTTAAAAGGTGCACAACATTTTTCTGCAGAAAAAATCATTTGTAAGTATAAGGAAAAATAATGATTTGTTGGACTGAGAAGAAAGTCAAGTGCCTACTTCCTGACTGCAGACACAATGTGCCCAGGTGCTTCATGCTCACGCCACCACACCTTATCAACAACGGCGCACTGTTCCCTCATGAACCAAAATAAACCCTTCCCTCCTCTCTAAGTCCTTTCATTGAGTATTTTTGTGACAGCAACACAGCAAAGTAACTAGAACAGAAAACTGATACTAAAGTTGCTGAGATAAACTTTTATGTGTTTCATAGGCCTTTAAAGTTGGTTCTGTAAGAAATAGATTTGGGAAGTTATGGATTAGAATAGCCCTGGAATGTTTTAAGCAGTGCTTAACAGACCATTCTGATATGAGTTTGAAAAAGCAGAATGCTAAGAGAAATCCAAACTGTAGAGTCACATCTCATGAGATTTCTGAAGCACTCTAGTGAGTACTCAGCTAGAAGAAATTCGTGTGATTTTCTGTTAAAGAATCTGGCTGTATTCTGCCTGTGTCATAAAAACTTGACAGAAGCTGAATTCAAAGGAAAGTGACCGTTCATTTGGAAGAAGAAATTTTAGGTATAACATGCAGACCTTGTTATGGTTACTACTCATTGATTTATCAAAGTCTACAATGAAAGAAAGCAACAAGAACAGAAAGACATGAAAACACGGACTCAGAGCAAAATTTGAAATAACAGACAAGGTAGGTGTATATTTGCTATATTTGCTAAAAAAGATTAGCACCATTAAAGAGAGTCCTCTTGCTTTGCCCTGAGACAATGAAAAGGGTGCCCTGAGGGCATGACCCAACTGGTCACAGGATCTCATTTGTGAAAATTAATTTGAAAGAATAATGCTTGAGTTGGGAATGCCAGAAGAACTGAAGGAACTCTATACTCAAAATCAATTCCCTGGGGAACTGTTTGAACTTTCTTTTTGTTATTTTTGCTTTTTTTTTTCAGGTTCAGTCTCAAAGGTACAGAGAGACTACTGCAACCAAGGGACAGAGATTGGGAGGCATGATACTTCTTAAGCTAGGAGAAATCAGTTTTCATGTATGAAATATGTAAGAGTGATGGAGTCAGAGAGTCTTGCACCAAGGATCTAGAAACCTTCTAAGGCCAAGCAATATTTGACAGAATTATATTCCCCACAAGGAGGTCCTGAGAGACAACTGTGTGGAAGGAAGATAAAGGCCAAGCTGTGATGGGGGTTCTAGGATGTTGTAGATGCCAGGGATGTTAAGGGATATCTACTGAAGTAAGTTATAGACACAGAGTGTAACCAGTCGGGGAGAGAGAGAGAGAGAGAGAGAGAGAGAGAGAGAGAGAGAGAGAGAGAGAGAGAGAGAGAGAGAGATCATAGGTGCTGAAGTCAGCAGAATGGGAGAAGCAAGAATGCCAAAGGCCAAAGGAACCCAGATTATTCTATCATGAGCTCCAGATGCTGCATATGGGGAAACAGTGGTTGACATTTTCCCTTTTGGGTTTCAGTATTTCTTTTATATCCTCCTGTTCTTCATTTTTGAAATGGAAATACTTATTCTATGCCATTAGATATTGGACATATGTAACATATTGTTTTATTTTATTTTATAGGGGCTTATAGTTAGTAGATTGTCTTGAATCTTAAAAAGAAACTGAACCATAGCAAACAAGGAGACAAGAATTTATTTACTTTTATCTTTGTGTTTGTTTGGAGACAGTCTTGATATGGAGCCATACCCTTGGTCTTTGTGCCTTTAGATCCATGTATTCAGATTACAAAAATATGCTACTACATCTGATTTATTCTGTTTTTGAAGCTGTCACCTTCACCATTCTTTTCCGTCTCCTGTTTCCAATACTTCATTAACCTCTTAGTTTCCATCTCTGTCATCTGTTGTACCACATCTTGGAATAGTATAGTCTAGTGAATTCCACTCCTCAGATGCCTTCCAGTCAGCAGCCAGTCTTACTTACTGATTCATTCCTTCTGCATATTTCTCATACCTTGTCCCTCCTCACTCCTTTTAGCATTGTCATCATGATCTTACAAGACCTCTTTCCAACTATCTGTGGTCAGGAACCTGTTAGGGCTGGAGTGAGATTTAGTAGTTGCACAGTTAAGACATTTACTGAACATCTAAAAACAAACACCATTGTTTAATGTTAGGAGGAGAAAAAGGGGGAGGCGAGGAACAGACAAAATTGTACAGTAATGTAAAGTGTGTGCTTTACACAATCAATATCACAATTTATGCCCTGTGCTGGGTGTAATTTATGAGATACTAGCCTTATATTAGCATAGTTTTACATAAAATCTTTGACTGTAGGACAACTTGTGTCCATTCTCTCCCTGCCACCATGTGGGACCTGGGGATTGTACTCAACCCTGCACCTGCTGAGCTATCTCACAGGTCAATTATTTTAAAAATTAAAATCCTTTCCATTTATGCCTAAAGTGAAATTTCTCATAAATTACACCTCTTATCAGTACTTCCCTTCTCAGTCTCTGCAATTGAGTTTTCTGTCCTACAGTCAAAGATTTTATGCAAAACTATGTGGCTGTGAAGAAGATATTCATTATTCTAAGAGACTATGTCTTTGTGGCCATCAGATTCCTAAACTACATGTGAATCCAAATTATTAAATTTATTCTAAGGGCTGATGTTAAAATGTTTATTGCTGATATAAGGCTAATATCTCATAAATTATGCTCTGTGGCATTTGTACCCCATACACCCACCCACAAATAAACAAAATGCAAGTACTCCATGTACTTTTCTTTTTTTCTATTTATTTATTTAAGATTTCTGTGTCTTCCCCACTGCCGCCTCCCCTTTCCCTCCCCCTCCCCCAACCAAGTCCCCCTCCCTCCTCAGCCCAAAGAGCAATCAGGGTTCCCTGCCCTGTGGGAAGTCCAAGGACCACCCACCTCCATCCAGGTCTAGTAAGATGAGCATCCAAACTGCCTAGGCTCCCACAAAACCAATAGGTGCAGTAGGATCAAAAACCCATTGCCATTGTTCTTGAGGTCTCAGTAGTCCTCATTGTCCGCTATGCTAACCAAGGGTGAGATGCTCTTATCTACTGAGCAGAACAAGCAGGCAGCAAGGAGGAGACCCCTGTGTAGGTGGAAAAGTACTCCACCCCTGGCCATGATTCAAAGTACCTATAAACTGCTTCTTAAAATTGATGTAGACACCAGTCCTAGTTTTTGCAAGAATAATAAATGAGCCGGGCGATGGTGGCGCACACCTTTAATCCCAGCACTCAGGAGGCAGAGGCAGGCGGATCTCTGTGAGTTCGAGACCAGCCTGGTCTACAGAGCTAGTTTCAGGACAGGCACCAAAGCTACAGAGAAACCCTGTCTCGAAAAACAAACAAACAAACAAACAAACAAACAAAAAAAGAATAATAAATGAAATGTTTGTGAATTGGTTAAGATAAGTACTGATAAGAGGTATTTCCTGAAGCCCATCTCTAGAACTGAATAATCGATTCGGGAAAATTATTTTTGAGGCTTTATCATCGGTAGAGAACGAAAGTAGCTTTCCCCTACTCCCTCGTTTTAACCTAGAGAAGCAGTTCTATCTTGCAGTCGTCTGCTTGGTTAAAACTGAGTAAAATGAGCCAAGTGGGAGAGTAGGACACAGTCAGGACTGACATGGGATCTCCTCAGTAAACACTAGAGATCTAGAAAAACAGGTAGGAACCTCAATCCATCTGTTTCCAGAGGCAGCGTAAGTCTCGGCGTTGGTGTTGAGGAAGTGGCCA